GCGAGTTAATGTCCGATTTGTTATTTAGTAACCTAATGGCTGTAATTAAGCTAGCTTTCTCCTCTTCTGTAGATTTGACCTTTCCTTGTAGGTCAGCTAATATATAACTCAGATTGTTTAACCTTTCGTGTAAAGATTTGTTCTCATTTTTCAAATCATTGTTCGTGTCTTTTAAATCGCTATTTTCCTTTATAAGTGCAGAAAATTCACTTTCCTTGTCAGCAATTCTGAGTTCTTTAAGCTGGTTAGAGTGATCTGATAACGTCCTATTTATGTATGTCATGCTCGATACAAATTGATCGGATAAGGCTTGTAGTTTAGCTTGTAACTGGCAGTTAAGGATTTTAAGATAAGTCTCTTGGGAATCGTCTAGGTCATTATTTAGGTGGGATCTATTGTCGTTATGGCTGGCTGACCTGTTTTTCTCAACAACATCCACGAGCTTGTCCTCGTCGTTAGCTAAACCCGCTGAAATTGAGGCTAATTTCAACAGCTTCTCCTTGAATTCCTTTTCGTCTTTACCACTAATGGTGATCGATTCGGTATCAGAATACCAGCGGATAGAGATGCTTTCATTTTGGCAAAGCTTTGCGTGTCCTCCCGGCGTGGTCCATTCGCCGTCTGACAAAACCAAGACTTCTGCGACAAATCTTTGTAGAGCCTCAAAATCGGCTGTCCATTTGAGCTTTCCTTTGCTGCTAGTAGATAAATTATGTAGCAGACTCATTCCAGTAACAGTTTGCTCTGTATCCATCTTAGATTGCGTTGGTTTTAGTGACTTTTTAGACATAAAACGAGGAGCTCCAAACCGAGCACCGTACTCGAGCACCAGTCACCACACTTACGACAATACTTACAAGAGCAATACCTAGAGAAATCGGTGTGATTGTCGAATTGATTCTTCATGGATTCGCAGATGCGAGCCTTCTTGGTTGTTGCGCTGTGATCTACGCTATTATCAAGCAAGCTGGAGTGATTAGTCAAGGGTTCCTGATTTCGAAAACAAGATTGGCCAAACGGGACTTGACTATTCCGCGCCTGGAGTTAGTGAGTTGCCACGTGCTAAGTAACCTCCTACACAACACATTCAAAGTTCTTAGTCATATACAAATTGCTGGTGTATTCGCATGGTCTGATTCTACTGTCTGTCTTCAATGGATCCAAGGTCAGGGAAGATATAAACAATTCGTGGACAATCGGGTAGAGAAAATAAACGAGAAGGAAGAAATCGTTTGGAAATACGTGCCTAGTAAAGAGAATCCTGCGGATATCGGTAGTCGGGGATCAAGTGACTTAGAAACTAACGAAATGTGGATGAGCGGTCCTTCATGGCTGAACAATTCCGACAGCTGGCCGGAACAGATTGTTGCTAAACCTTCTGATGTGTCGGAGTCCGAAAGTCGCACAATCAAGACCGTGATGAAAGCTGCTGTTCAAAGAAAATCAGATGTCTTTGACGACCTTTTAGCGAAAACAACCCTATGGAAAACTGTGCGGATTTTAGCATCGATCAAAAGATTTGCCGTCAATTGTCGAAGAAGTAAAAGAATTAGCGGGCCACTAACGACTGAAGAGACTGAGGAACAATTGAAATTTCTGATTAAACGAGCTCAAGAGGACGGTGAAAATTCTGTTCAATTCAAAGAACATTCTCAACGATTGAATCTCCAGAAAAATGAAGAAGGCATTTACGTGTGTAAGGGGAGAATTCAAGGGTTTTATCCAATTTACTTGCCATCAAATCACCTCCTATCTCTGAAGATTGTCGAACGTGCACATCTTTACACTCTTCACGGCGGGGTTGGGTTAACCATGAGTAAAGTACGCGACGATTATTGGATCCCTACATTGCGAAGTCTTGTGAAGAAAGTCATTGGCAAATGCTATGGGTGTAAACGATTTTACACAACGCCGATGCCCGCTCCACCTCAGGGGAATCTTCCAAAAGAACGAACTGAAGGTGAAATCCCCTTCGAAGTAACTGGTGTCGATTATGCCGGACCAATCTATTACAAGGGAAATGGGGGAGCTGAGCGTAAGTCATATATACTCATCTATACCTGCAGTTTAACTAGAGGACTTCACTTGGAGATTCTGCCAAACATGAGCTGTGAAGAGTTCCTGATGAGTTTTAAAAGATTTATCGCAGCAAGAGGTCGTCCGAAGAAGATCATATCCGATAATGGAAAGACTTTCGTGGCTGCTGCCAAATGGATCAAGAAAGTCGTACTGAACGAAAAGTTACAAGGCTATCTGAGTGAACATGGTGTGAAATGGCAGTTCAATCTAAGCAAAGCTAGCTGGTGGGGTGGAATGTTCGAACGAATGGTCAGCATAGTGAAACAAGCTCTTTACAAGGTCGTAGGATCGGCCAAACTTACCTTCAAAGAATTGCAAGACGTGATGCTAGATATCCAGCTCGTATTGAACAATCGACCACTATCGTACTGCGAGGATGACATTCAACTTCCCGTGTTGACGCCGAACATGATGATCTTCGGTAAAGCCAATTATCTTATGGAGTTATCACCTGAGGATATAGAAGAACGAGACCTGCGAAAGAGGGCGAGATATTTGAAGAAATGTAAGGACGCGTTATGGCAACAATGGAAACGAGAATACATGAGAGCACTTCGCGAAAGACATAACTTAACACATGACGGGAAAGAGAGAGAGCTACGAAAGGGTGATGTTATGCTAATCAAAGGTGATGAAAAGAATCGTAGACTGTGGAAAATTGGGATTGTTGAACAACTTATACCCGGAAGAGACGGAGTGGTTCGTGGAGTTAGACTACGTGCAGGAAAATCATTCATGGAAAGACCAATACAATTTCTTTACCCTTTGGAATTGCATTGTGATAGAGAAAGTAATCAAGAAACTGTTCCATTGAATCCTGTTGCAAAGGAGTTCAAACCGAAGCGTAGAGCGGCTGTCGATGCAAGGAAGAACATTGAACTAATTTATGATCAGGAAGAGGAAGAACTGTGATGGGTAGAGACGGTGAATACGTGTAGACGTTCGTGTATATATAAGACAGATAAGTTATATTTAAAACTTACGTTCTAAATAGGGGGAGTGTGTCGGGAAAAAGGTTGACATTAATAATTAGTAGTTAAATTTAGAGATGAGGTGATTACCATATATGGAATTGATTGACAGGCATGAGATAAAAGGAATGCTGTTAATGTTGTTATTGCATGGGAATATATGTAACTGGGAGCGATTTGGGAAGGGATTATAATACAAAACAAAAGATATAACGCGTAATTTGCTCTTATTGTGGGGATCGAACGAAAATCTACCACACTTGCTCCTTGGAAAAGGAACACGTTCCTTGCTTTTGTAATTAATTACGTTTTTCGTTACATTTCTAAAAACGTAATTAATTAGAGGTTAAAATTACTTCAAATGTAACGAGTACACAGTAACGCGTTACAATTGTAACGAGTATTTACAACCGTGTGTAAACCATTGAAACGAGTAAGCTAAAGTCTACAGGAGGAATTTGTAAAAAAGAAGAGAAGCTAAACGAGTAAAGAGTGGGGACTAATTATTTGTTATGGCAAAACATAAATAATCCGAACTGTTCACTAGCAGGTGCACCCATTACAGTGTAAACATGCCAAGTTTGACTAAATTTTATTAAGTTATCATCAGGGACGCCGGAACGATAATAAGGCAAAGGGGGGCAGACGCACACCAAGGGCACCTCTATAGAGGAAAACTTCAAAATCTACCGGAAAATATTTTTTTAATGGAAATTTTTTGGGCGACTCCCACCACTCCACCCCCCTCCCCCCCGTCGCCAAAAAATTTTCGGTCAGTGTACCATTTTAGGGGTCAAAAAATTTTCCAGACATACCTAAAATTTCAATTAACTTAAAAAATTTTTCTAAATTCCAAAAATTTTCTGAAATTCTTGTAAATTTAACTCAGTCTTTACCAAATTCACAATTATTTTTGTTAATTTACTTTCTCTGGGCCTATAAATTACCTGAATTTCATGATTTTCCAAGAAAAAGCATCACTGGAAATGTGATTTATCACGTAGTATTTTACAAGTAAAAGGGCACTTCTACCCCCTCCTGCCCACCTAGCAAAAGGCAAGGGGGGCAGCAAAATAAAACCTCTACAGAAAATTAAAGAATCAATCAATCAAGATTACGTTCATTTCCACGCAGTGTAGGACATCATTTACAAAGGTTCTGCTTTAGCTACTGTTTTAATATTGTAGTTTACTTTTTTGTTTTTACTTAAT